GTTCAATTATACTGATTAAGCAGATGTTTTTGCAAATAAGTTTATTTGATTGTTTATTTATTTTCTTGTTGTTTAAATAACAATTTTTTATAATTTAACTAAGGTTATTCTTATGTAACTCTTAAGTGTGCATTAATATTTTTTTAAATGTTTGTTATTATGTTGAGTTTATCTTGCATTTAAACAGTGTACATTTTGTAAACCTCCAAGTGCTTCTAAAGGAATACCAATGTTAAAAGAAAAAGTTTAAGATGAATCAAACATTTTTAATGTATGCATTTATGTAGAGCAGGCAATAAAAAGAATAAAACACTTTGGTATTTTAAAAATAACACAGCCATTGTTATATCTACCAATCACGAATAATATACTGTGTGTTTGTGTTCTATATCAAACTTGAGAAAACCACTAGTTTCTAAATAGTCTAGCAAAAAAAAAAATTATTTGCTAAATAGTTTTGTCTTATTTTATATAATATAACATTTTTATAAAACAATATAATGTTGACTATTATAAGAAATTTAAATTTTTTTCTGTTTAAATTACTGTTTACTTACTGTTTAAACTTTAGGTCATTATTATTAAAAATAAATTTATATCAATTAGGGCTGAAAGATATGTTAAAAAAATAAGTTGTTAATTTTTTTAATATCATCTATTTCAGTCTATTTACTTTAAATTAAAAATTTCAACCCAGTTTTTTGATTGTAAAATCTTTTAAAAATACAGAAAAAAAATTTCAAGATATACAACTTTTTGTCAAAAAAAAAAACAATTAAAAAAATGATTATATTAATCTATGTTTTAGATAAAGGAATTAAATATGATGACTGATAAGAAAGAATTCAATGTACTGATTGATTCCATATAAACATATAACACATATAAAGACATACTATTGAAGTTTAAAACTTAACACAAAGTAGACATGGAGTGCATGTAACAAATCCAGTCTTGATCTGCTAATAATTCATAATCATCTTTGTTTAAATTTTGCCAAGAACAGTGGAACTAAGTGCAACATATTTCACACTAAATACTGCTGTATTGTTTAAGTTCATTAGCAGTAATTTCTGGCTCTTTAAGTATTAACTTGTCACATTTTCCAGAGAATGTAATATGTTCTGATAGTTATAATGCTAGAGAAATGTATATTTTAAAAAACAATCTAAATTTTTTTTTACTTTATCCCAGAGCTCTTGATTAAATTTGATTAATTCAACATATAAGTCTTTAAGTGTCCCAACAATAAAATATGCTGACTTGCAATTTGTGACTTTGAGAATTGATTTGAGTGTAATATTTATAACTTTTATTTAATGCTATTTCATCATTTATTATTGTAAAAAAGTTACAATCACTAGCTCCCTCTTTAATTTTCTTATTAAAAATTATAAAAGGACATTTCACTTCCAAACACACCCTTCCATGGCATTTACATACTATAAAACCGTCTGGTGAACAAGCAAGATACTTTCAATATTTTTATTAAATGCTTTCAATACTTTTATTTTTACTTATGCTTTACATACACTTTCAATATTTTTATTAAATATTTTAACTTTTAATTATGATATTACAGCAGAAGGCTCGGATATATAGATGTTTAAAAAAGTTTCAAATGAATATTCATTAAAGTCATGATAACTTTCAATTCTTGGAAAAATTTCTTTCAATGCTTTCATTCGTGTTTTTTCCTTATTATTTATACCATTTGTTTCATTATTTGCTATTCTTTTCTAACAACTAGGTCAGTTATTAAACATGGTTTGATATCTTTTTGAGAGAATTTATTCTAGACACATGCTTGTTCAGTACATGTTGGATTACATTACCTTTTTTTTAACATACTCTATTTTATAAAGGGTGGTAATGATATGGTTGCAAACTTTGAAAGCTCCAGCCATGCATGAACAACAAGCAGAAATTATGTCACACTTACTAAAAGCAACCCAAAGTTTTATTTTTTCCTTGATTTTTTGCGAACCACAAACTTCAGAATATATAAAAAAATACCTTTTTTAAAACTAAAGTGCATAATAGGGCCTACAAATCCACTATCAAAAAATAAAAATGTTTTTTGATCCTTGCACTTGCCAATATATTCTGAATTAAAGTTTTTCTGTTTCTAAATCTAAGGCTTTAAGTTTTTCTGTACATATATTTGTTTACGCTTTTTCTCCTGTTCTTCTGCTATCTTGCAGTAAATGCTCTGGCAACAAGCTCAACTTTACGTTCAGTTGAACTTAACCCACAAACAGCTAAAAAACTAATAAGCTGCTCGACAGGTAAATTTAAAGAACCTTCATAACTTTTAAGTGGCATGTTAAAACACGTTGTATTTTCAAATAAACTATTTAATTTAAATAAAAAATAAAAAATCAGATAAGCTTCCTCAAAACATTTTGTTTACAATTTTTCCCTCCCGATAAAAACATTATACTACATGATTCATAATTGCTGCTTAATTAAAAAAAGGTCTTTAAACTAACTTAACTTAAATATATGTGTATATATATTTATATATATATATATATATATATATATATATATATATATATATATATATATATATATATATATATATATATATATATATGTAATATGCACACACACATTAATATATATGTGTGTATATATACAGGGTGTCCCAAAATTAAAACAAGATTTGAATTTGCTGCCATTTATGCAGTACAGTGTTGACAACACTAAAATCAAAATAAATCGACAGTTGACAGTTTAGGGTTAGTAAAAATGGAGCGTTATGCAACAGAACAATGTATCTTCATTGTTGAACAATATTTCAAAAATAATGAATGCTTGGCGGCCGCAGTTTGAAAACTTCATACAAAATATGGTCAGGATGGTGTTTTAACTTGGTCAACTGTAAAGAGATTAATTAAAAAATTCAGAGAGAAAGGATCCGTGGGAAACGCCAAACACATTGGTCATCCAAAAACAAGCCATTCAAATGTCAATATAGAGGCAGTGCGTGCGAGTATTGATGACAATCTAGGAACCTCTATTCAACGTTGTGGACAAGAATTGCAAATTTCAAGAAGCTCTCTACAGTGTATACTCACTAAAGATCTGTGTCTTCATGCTTACAAAATTCAATTAACATAACTACTGAAGCCCAATGATCATGCACAGCGAAGAGATTTTGTTGAATGGATTACTGAGCAACAATAAATGAATGCTGATTTTTAAAGCAAAATCATCCTAAGCGACGAAGCACATTTTCACCTTGATTGCTTTGTTAATTGTAAAAATTGTCGCTTTTGGTGTTCTGACAACCCACATGTGATTGTTGAAAAACAAATGAATCCACAACGTGTCACTCTTTGGTGTGCATTTTGGGCTGGAGGCATAATTGGACCATACTTTTTTGAAAATAAGGTTGGTCAAGCAGTGACTGTTACTGGTGCTTGATATCGCAACATGATAACACAGTTCTTTTTGCCAAAATTGGATGATATTGATGTGGCCAATATGTGGTTTCAACAAGATGGTACTACATGCTGTATAGCCCGTGAAACATTTAAATTACTGCATGAGACATTTCCAGGTTGTGTACTCTCTCGCTTCGGTGATCAGAATCGACCCCCTAGATCGTGTGATTTAACACCATTAGATTTCTTTATATGAGGTTATTTAAAATCACAGGTCTACGTCAACAAGCCCACAACCACGCGTGCATTAAAGGAAGTGATTCAATGTTGCAAAATTTAGCCACATTTATGCAGAACGGTCATAGAAAATTTCGATAAACAAGTGGGTATGTGTATGCAAAGCTGCGGAAGCCATTTCCCTGATGTGTTATTCCATAAATAACCCTAACTTCTGTACTTTATGAATCAATAAAAAAATTAAAATCAAAAGACTAAAAACTGTGTTTTCTTTTTAAATCAAATCTAGCGTTAATTTTGGGACACCCTGTATATATATGTATATATATACATATATATATATACATATATGTATACGTATATATATATATATATATATATATATATATATATATACATGTATTTAAATATGTATATATATATATATATGTATATATATATATACATATATATATATATATATATATATATATATATATATATATATATATATATATATATATATATATATATATATATACATATAACCACTATTAAGTAGCCTCCTCTTTTGTAGTGGCCTTCTCAGCCTTGAGGAGGTGAATAACAAAAAAAAATATATATATATATGTATATATATATATATATATATATATATGTATATATATATATATATATATATATATGTATATATATATATATATATATATATATATATATATATATATATATATATATATATATATATATATATATATATATATATATATATAATTTTTTTTTTTATATATATTTTTTTTTATATATATAATTTTTATTGATAGATTTTATATGACATACCTAATTTTGAATGGTGTTTCACTTATACTGATGTAGAAATTTATTGACAGGAGTGATAGTAGGATCATTGGAACTTAAATTAACTTAGCATATAATGTTTTTTGTTAAGCATTGGTTTGATAAAGGGCAGGTATTTTTATTAAGGCAGTTGCATTTAGGTTTAGTTCAAATTTTTTTGTTGTTTATAATATGTTGATTGTGTGCTTTTAAAATAGATTTCATATTCGGCATACAGATATAACTTATTTTTATCGTGTTTCTGTTGAAAATTTTGTGAAGCTTGTGATTTATTAGGAAGTGTTTGTTGATTAAGGTTAAAAAGCTTTTTCCTACATTAGTGCTAATATTTTTGCTGAAAAGAGGTTTAAACCAAATGTATAATACGGAAGGAGTTTTAAGTTTATAACTTTAAATGAAATAGAAATAAAAATCACTGACATAAAAATAGCTGTATACAAAAATACACGTGTAATAATGTTTACAAATCTTTACAAAACCTTTACAAAATCTTTACAAAAACTTTAATCTTTACAAAAAGACATATATACATACCTAAGAATGCCTCGGTTTTCAAATATAGTCCAATTTGCCTGCTGAGATTCTGCAATCTTTGTAAAATCAGTGCGTTTCCTTTAGAAAAAAAAAAAAAAAGTAATTGAAAGTCCCTAAAAATAAATTAAACTTTTATTAATTTACTCTATATAAAAATGTAACATAATTAAATTAATAATATTTTAAATCAAAATTAAATTAATTTAAAATAATTCATCTTGTATAAGTATATAGCATTAACTAATAAAATAATTAACAATGAACCTTATTTAAAAAAAACATAATATAATGTTAAAAAAAATACTTACTTGAAATAAAGTGCCAGATCAGTAGATAATATAGCATCTTCAAGAATTTTAATAGCCAATTTGTAGTCATTAGGATTTAGTGAATCAAAAATCTGTGTACCCTTATGAATAAAAATATTTATTTTTAATAAACTTTTAAAAAGAGATTTTTAAAGATGTTCTTGGAAAACTATTTTGGATATCATAAAACAAGTAATCACCAGATACAATAACTAGATAATTTACATCTGAGGTAAGAATCATAATAGAATGATTAAAATGATGTCTCTCCATAGTAGAAGTACCATAGAGAGCAGCTATAGGTGATTGAGTCCTTAAAAAAAATAAAAATTTGAACAGTAAAATTAGCAATGCTTCTTTTATTTGTTATTTTCTAATTAATTTTATTTACTTTAGTTGGAAGTTGTTATTTGTACCACGATGATCTAAATCATGACATAAACAAGCAACAAGAAGAACAAACGATTCTAAATCAGTAAACCAGGAAAACATTTGACCTATCTGAAGAAAAGGTTATATAAAATAAAAAATCATAAACAAAGAAACAAAAAATAATCAAACAACAAATTTAACTATTTACATTTAAAATAGTAAACATCTGAAGGAAAAAATATATATTAAAAAAAAAAACTCATAAATAAAGAAATAAAAAAAAAAAGTTAAACAACAAATTAAAGTATTTACACTTAAAATAGTAAACATGGTCTGTGTAACATTAAAAGCATGCCTCCAATTATGATAAGTAACACGACGATAGTTTTTCTTCACGGTCAAAATAAATTTGCACATGGTCTAAAAGTTAAATTTTGAAAATAAACGATAAAAGATAAAGAGTTTTAATAAATAATAAATAACAATTACTTATAAAAAATCATTTTACAGCGGAGTACACTTTGCAAAACATTAGGAAAGGGAGATGAATAAAATTAATCCTGAAAAACATCAGTAGAAATTTTAATTAGCAATCCAACTGCCCTTCTCCTTCAAAAGTGTTCACCTCTGGTTGCTTACTGTGTAAGGTATATTGAAAATGCTCAAAAAGTTTTTTTCTAGAAATATTCTCATTGTCATAAGACATGTTTCTCTATCTGTCATTGTAAGATCGTCAAATGCAAATGAATTAAAACTAAAACTTTCAGTAGCAGGAACTTCCAAGATCTAGATAAAAATTTAACTTAAATTATAAATGTATGTATCTGTACATATATAATAATAATATTAGTAATAACAATAACAATAGTAATAATAGTGCCAATAACATGTATGTATATATATACATACATATATATACATACATATATATACATATATATATATATATATATATATATATATATATATATATATATATATATATATATATATATATATATATATATATATATATATATATATATATATATATATATATATATATATATATATATATATATATATATATATATATATATATATATATATATATATATATAGTTTACAGCTGATTTGTTTTGATTTTTTTTATAAAAATTTATTTTTAATTTGCTATTTCAAGATATATATTATTTTAGATGAAAAAGTTATATGTATACAGCGGTTGTCAAATAATTACTTACATCATACTCACACACACACACACACACACACACACACACACACAGATATATATATATATATATATATATATATATATATATATATATATATATATATATATATATATACATATATAAATATATAAAATATATAAAGTGCTTCCAGAAAGTATTAGCGCACTCATATTTTTTTTACCTCAGTGAACTTCAAATGAGTGTAATTCAAAAACAATAAAAGGCTGATTGATCTTTTTTTTTATAAACATAAAATAAAGCAGATTTACTAATTGTTAAATATATAAAAATATTTCTTTATTATTATCTTAAATTTAATTAGAATACGATGAGTGACAAAAACAATATTAAAAAAGTGTGCAAAAGTATTAGCCTACTTACAATTTTTCAAAAAATCTAAGAAAGCTTAATATTTTATGTGACCCCTTTGTTTTTAAGGCATGCCAAGACTCTATGCGGCATAGAACCTATAAGTTTTTTGATTAATTTTTGTGGCACGGTTTTCCACAACTCTTCCATTTGCGTTTTGAGCTGCATAAAGTTAGTGGGCTTGCTTTTTTGTAATTTGCAGTCCATCCAACTCCAAAGATTCTCAATAGGATTTAAATCAGGCAAGCGAACAGGCCATGGCATTAGATTCAACCATTTTTCCTCTATGTATTACTTAATTGAGCGTGCTGTATGGCAAAGAGCGTTATCTTGTTGAACGTCCATTGATGGTTTTAAATAATCTTCTAGTATCTCTCTATATTGATGTTGATTAAGGCAATCAGTGTCAAGATGCTACAGGTTATTGCTAGATCCAGCAATGCAGCCCCAAATGCCAATTGAGCCTCCTCCTCCTTGAACTGTTGACATGATAAAACGAGGATTATATTTTTCGTTTTTGTATCTACTCACAACAACTCTTTTCTTGCAATTAATAAGTTCAAAATTTGACTCCTTCGAGAAAATGAATTTTCTCCATAGCTCTAGAATCCATGCAGATCTCTCTTTGCACCATTTTCTTCGTTTGAGATGGTCTTTGATACTTAGTAGTGGCTTTTTTGTTGCAAGTTATGAATTGAGATGTTTTTTCTTCATCAGGTTGCTAATTGTTGATCTGCTAACTTGATGTGTACCCAACACTGTATTTAGGTCTGAGGCGATTTCCGCTATGCTCATGTTCGCGTTGCGTCTAGCGAACATAATTGTTTTATTTTCATCCCTTTCTGACATTTTTTTGGGACGACCAGAGTCACTTATGTCTTTGATTGTTACAAACTCATCATAGTTTTTGAGCGTTGTTCTAACGCTGCATTCACTGATTTCAAGTTGATGTCCGATTTCTCAATTGCTGAGACCACTTTTGTACAGGCCAACAACTTGCCACTTTGTTTTAATTGATATGCTCTTTAAACCCGTATTTTTGTTAATGCAATTTTAAAGTTTTAACTAACTGTATTTCAAATGATATTTCTGACACTTCAATTTACGGTTCTTATATTTTTTATTGACTATTATTAATCAGCAGAGAGTAGTTAACAAAAACTAGTCAAAAAAGTTTTTATCAAAGGAATTAAACAAGTAGGCTAATACATTTTAAATGAGTGCGCTAATACTTTTGCACGCTTAATTTCAGATATTTTACCAAGAAATCATTAAACCTCTAATTAACTTATAAAAAAAAACAGGTTGACAAATATTTGACATTATAATTAAATTTAATTCGTTTTACCTTTCATTTAAAAAAAAACTAGTTCAAAATTAAAATTACTTTACAATAAAATCAATTGAAGAATGTGCAACATGTTTTACTTAAAAATGAAACCAAAAATTTTAATAAGTTTATATTTTTTTGCAAACTTTATTTTTATTCTTGCCTGCTTTGATAAGGTTTTAATAAAAGACTGTTTCTAATGTAAAAATAAACAATTAGGTGCAAACAAGATAATATTACACAACAATAAGAAGAAGAATAATTACCTTCAAAAAAAAAAACGGTTTGCAAAATCATTTGCTTTAACATACTATTATTCAAAAACCAAGTAAATTCTTAGCAAATACTTCTGTGGAAATATATCAGCAGCATCTTAGATGTATTTTACACAGTTTTACACAGTTCTTAAAATGAATATTTAAGCAAAAAAAGAATGACAAAATTAAATTTTATGCCATAAAAATATCTTTCATATGTAGATTGTACTTGCATGAACCCAATCGCACATTTAATATTACGTACTAAAGTCCTTGCAGATGGATATTTCAGTATAATGTCATCATTGAGAAGGTGATTATACTGAAATGAATGTGATTTGTGACTGGATTGGTTAAAATAAAGTAGCATTTTAATACACAAAACAGTTGTTATTAAATTAGACTACTTTAAATTAGTCTGGTAAGACTACTTGACTACAACATCATCAATGACTTCATGCAAAAAAAAAAAAAATTATACTCACAGCAAACTCTTCTACACCTTCTATAGGCTCAGCAGCATGATATTGAAGAATCTATTTTAAAACACCATAAAACAACTTTAAAAAATTTATAAATTTAAATAATGTAGAAGTTTAGTACTTTATATAAATCACATACTCTTAAAGAAAAACACTAGAATAAATTAAACAAACTTACAAAAAAATTATTATTTAAATTTTTTTTTTTTAATGTAAGATATTAATTTAATAAATAATTAATAAATAAATAACAACAACATTGATAACAGTAACAATAACAAAGAATTTAGCAAAAAGTTTTGCAGAGAAAATAGACCTATATATAAATTTTATATTGCTATTACAAAAACTTCTTATATACTATCTTTTTATACAAAATCTCATCTGACTATTACAGTTTATAGCCTTTAGACTTAAGTAGTTTGATAATTCAAACCATAAATTTATTACATTAATATTTTGAACACATTAAACTGAATACAAAAACTGAAATCAAAATATGATTTTAAGTTAAGAAATGTTTAACCATCTTTTAAGGTATTATGAACCTCTTTTGAACCAATAACAAACTTTCGCTGGGCAGTTAATAGAGCATGAGCAAGTATTATAAGAATAATATTTATGCATTGAACACATTTTTGATATTTTCAAAATATATATACTTTTTAAATTATGTTAGAGCATGACATATTTTCGCTTTAATATTTTTGACATCTTTGACATTTCAAAATATTTTTCTTTTTAAATTATGCAATGTGAATGATCCATAAATCAAAATTGTGTTTCAAAAGTTGATTCAAAGATTTTTTTTTTTTAATATTTTTTTAATACATGACTGTAGTTAATTTTTAAATTAGGTAATGTGAATGATGTATAAATTAAAATTATTGAGTTTCAAAAGTAGATTCAAAGATTTCATTTTACTTCATTTCTTTTATAGGTGACTGTAGTTGATTTATAATAACCCCAAATAAACAATATTGGATACCAAAAAAGATCTTAGAATTACCATGTCATAAAATCTTAAATGGAAAATTCAACAAATTGAACATCAAATGCTTATTCAATGCTTAAAATGTATAACAATTTAACTTTTCTATTTCAAAAGTCTTACCAATTTCTACACCAAAAAATGTTTAAGATGCTATACGTAACATATAAGACCCCATCTTGAATTTGCAATACATGCATGATGCCCATAACTTAAGAATAATATTGATGTACTATAAATAGCTTAACATTATGCCACTATTTAAGTAACCCAAATTTGAAAACTAATTTATAAAACAAGAATTAAAATCATTAGTATTGGAAAAAAAGATAAAAGAGGTAATATATAGCAAATGGACAAATTATCAAAAAAAAATTAAATAATATCCCCATATCAGTTTAACACACAAAAAAAGATAAGAGGTTATATATAATAAATGCACAAATTATCAAAAAAATATTAAATAATATCCCCATATCAGTTTAACACACAGAAAGATAATTTTAAAATCTAAAAAAAAATTGTAAAAAAATACAACCTTCATCATTAACTTTTAACAAATAGTCTCACCAATGCGGAATAAAATATCAGTGAAAGTAAAAGCTTAAACCTATTTGAATATTGCATTTATCAATGCAATATGATTTGTAACTAATATTTTATTTCTTAGAAAGACTTAACAAGGTACATGCTTTCAAAATGAAACTAATTACCATTAATTTCACTATACCAGTTTAAATAAGTGCACATTAGTACATTGAATTCACTACACTAGTTTACAACCAACTAAAGCTTTCTATTATACTATTATATTAATACACAATATAAACAAAACATCCTGTCAAATTAGTAATTTTGAGCATGGTTGCATACTATATTTGCTTTTTTTTTATTTCAAAAAAACAAAATTATTTATTATAATTACATAGAGATTGTACTTCTGTGTCAAAATACTTTCAATAAATTACTTCTATAGTTCAAGAAATGCTCCTTTCAGTTATACTCTAATTTAAGGAGGACTCTAAATTTTTTCTTAAAGTTAAAAATAAATTGCAAACATTTTAAAAAGGGATAGATAAATTCATTTACTTTATATCAAAACACTTATAGATTTTTGAGGCAGTCATGTTTGGGTTTTAATTTGGCCAGCAATGGATGTTTGCTTTAGGTTATTGAAAATCTAATGTGATTGATTCAAGTTAAATCCTGTTAAGATTGCCATTTGATTTACGATTGTTAAAAAATTGAGATTTGGAACAAATTTTATAGATTGATATGTTTATATTCTTTTTTGTTCAGTAGTGTTGAAAACATTGAGAATTTTAGTAATATCAGCATAAATGTTTTTGCAAGTACTTTTTTTTGGGTAAATAATTACAAAAGAATAGAGTAGACCTAAAACTAAACCTTGAGGAAGGTTGGGCCATTATAGGTTTTTTCCCATTCCAATGTCACTTTTAAGAAGAGAATGTTGTTTTGAATTATTTAAAAAAAAAACACTTTAATCTACTTTAAAATGTAAGTTTCAACTCAATATAATTCAAGTTTTTAAAGCAGTTAATTAGAGGAACTTTGTCAAACCTATTATCAATTTAAATTCAAATAACTATAACAACTTAAACTTTAAAAACTATAAATAATTATAGGCAGAAATTAAATCTAATAAGTTAAATTTAATGTAAGTACCCAGCTAACACAAAACGTTTATGTACATTCGATAAACGCTGTGAATGTTTGAGCACGTTCTATAAACGTTCATAAAATGTTCTTGAACGTTCACAAAGTTCATTGAAAGTTTTGTGTTAATTGGGTAGTTATTAAGTCAAACAAATCACAATATAATTTAACAGAATATAAAATAATACCACTAATTTAACTTGATAAATATTTATAAAAATATCTTTATACCTCAGTATTGACTTTCTGTCTAGCAATTAACATTGTTGCTTTCTCATACATTTGTGTATTATGAATACCAAGACCACAAAATATTGCAAACCCCTAAATAAAAATCTTCAAGCCTAATAATGTAAATTTATGACAAGAAACTATCTTTAAAACGTTTTTAAATAACAATATTGGCAGGACATTTTTCTAAAAAAGTATATAAAAGTATACTTATTTAATAAAATATTACTAAACACATTAAAGTATTTCATAAAACACTACTAAACACACTAAAGTATTTCACAAAACACTACTAAACACATCAAAGTATTTTATAAAACACTACTGAACACATTAAAGTATTTCATAAAACACTACTAAACACACTAAATTATTTCATAAAACACCACTAAACACACTAAAGTATTTCATAAAACACTACTAAACACATCAAAGTATTTCATAATGAACACACGCATTACTTAATACACCATTTTGGTCACAATTAGCAAAATATTTAAAACTCTTTTTTTATTTATGGGTTCTTGTTTTTGAAAGTAACAAACAGTTCTTTCAGTTCTTTTAAACTACATAAAAGCAAACGTTTTTGCATCTGAACACTTTTTTTTCTTGTTTTATAAAGCTTTGTTCAAAATCTTTGTAAAAAGACTTTATCAGTTAAACTGTTACACCAGGAAGAGTTTTTCCTTACTTAGAATAATGCATGGCTAAAATACTTTTTTCTTGTGATATTCTCTATATGCATTTTAAACTAAACAGTTTGCTATGTCCAATGTTCCAAAAAATATTTAGCAGTCTATTAAAGCAAAAAAGTTTTAAAAAAAAATTGTTAATGCTGCCAGTTTTTGCTTACTTATCTCTGATTTTTCCAGACTTAATGCTGTCAGTTTTTGTTTGCTTTCTCTAATTTTTACAGACTTAATCCAACTCTTTGACCTTAATAGAAATATTCCAACAGCCTGAAAGTATAGTTCATAAGTATTCCTTAAATCTTCTTTTTTTTTTTTTTTAAAAACTGATGTTTTATTAACATATCAAAATCATTTTTTCTCGAGCTTTTTAATAAAAGTTTTATTCTGCTTTAACACATTTTTTTCCAGGATTATGATTTCCAGGATTATGATTTCCAGGATTATGATTTCCAGGATTATGATTTCCAAGATTATGATTTTCAGGATTATGATTTCCAGGATTATGATTTCCAGGATTATGATTTCCAGGATTATGACTTCCAGGATTATGATTTCCAGGATTATGATTTCCAGGATTATGATTTCCAGGATTATGATTTCCAGGATTATGATTTCCAGGATTATGATTTTTATTTAAAGGTAATGCAAAGTTTACATTAAATTAAAAAAGTCTATATAAGTATAATAATGAAAAAATTTTAAAATGAAAGTGATATTTTTGCAGTCTTTAACTTTTATCTTGACATGAAGTTGAGATACATAAAACTAAAAACTACTGAAATGAAATTTGAATAACTACTCAACTTTATTGTCATACTTGATTTACCAGTAACCTATAAATATTTTTAAGAACAATAAATATTTTTCTCTATATTACTTATAGTTTCAAGGTATGAGATGTAACAGCATGACAAATTTAAAGAAGATCAAATAAAAATATTTCAATGAAGACAAAAATATCTCAAGAATCTTTCAAGAAAGAAGCAAGGCCAAGGCTATGATAGTGCTAATATAATAAGAGAAAAAAAAGGTGTGGCTCAAATACTGTTTAAAAATGTAATAACTATTGCACCTGTGCCAAACTTAAACTAGTCTTAAATTGGTTATTGTTAATAACATTGTTTAGAACATCAAGTCAGAATTTCATTTTATTTGGATCCAGTTAAAAACAGTTGCCCAAAAAAGTGATGTCATCAAATGGATGTAGCCCATGCTTTAAAAAATAAGTATGTTGACATTATTAAAGTGCTTTTTTATTTTGCCTGGAAAGTCAGATAGAGACAAAAAAGGAAAATAATACTGACATACAATTAAAAACTTATTGTATTAGATGTTGTTTATGAATATTTATTTTTGCAACTAATAAAGCCTTGGTCTAGATCTAAATAGAGTAAAAAAAAAATAGATATATAAAATAAAAATCTTTCGTGCAATTATATTACTCTTAACAAGCAAAAATTTCTCTGTAACTCCTGAGAGAACATACTTTAACTTTGAAAGCAGGAAACTGAAAAACTGCAAATGTGTTTACTAACATCCATAAATTAATTGGGAGATTATTTTATGACAACATTCAAAAGATCAGAAGATTCAAAACTGACCAACTTTTTTTTAAGATTAATTTTTGTAATCTTTTTAATGACACTGCACTATATTAATTGCAGCTTCCATGGTCACAAACAGGTAACTGATTAGCTCACATTTTTGCACCATAAAAACTGTCATATACTAAAATAAAAATTCCTGCAACCAAATTTGTAAAATCGTACCCTAAAAATGCAAATGACATTTTTGCACAATTTGCTAATTCCGGGAAAAATTTGATGAGGAATTGTGTAAAATAGAGACTGTTCAAAAATTTGATGAGGAATTGTGCAAAATAGAGACTGTTCAAAAATTTGATGAGGAATTGTGCAAAATAGAGACTGTTCAAGATGTGTTCTTATCAAAGTAAAAACAGTCAAGCCACCAGAACTAACATCTGTCTCATTTTTACTCTTCAAATGTTACATTGTGTGAATAATAATTTTCAAAACTTAAGATGATCAAACCCTTCCAATGAGTTCAAGATTTTGCTTATAAAAATTATGTGTCAAAGAATATACTCAATAAAAAGTTGTTTTATGAGTGTTACAGAAGCTTACAAAGAATTTCCTCTGTGACTAAAAGCTGTATTATGTATTACTCTTGTGGGTAATGTATGAAGATATGATATACTTAATGCTAAATTACAAAACTCAAAAGCATTTATTTTTGAAAACAAAATTGCTTCAAAACAAAGACTTATGTGTTTTATGGACAACAGTATTTTATGAGAGTTAACTTGTGGACAAACAGTAAACAAACTTATAAGGTACTAATGAAAGAAATGAATTTCCCCAAATAATTGCTTATCCAAGGGCCCCAGACAGTTGTTATGTCACTGCTACATATAAGGCTAGAACAGGCATTCAACCTTAAACTTATTGATTGAACTGTTTATTTTACACAATGCTTCATTAATAAAAACTCTTTAGAAAATCTTTTTTGAAAGAGTCCTTATTGACAATATATATATATATATATATATATATATATATATATATATATATATATATATATATATATATATATATATATATATATATATATATATATATATATGTATGTATGCATATATATATATGTATATATATATATATATATATATATATATATATATATATATATATATATATATATAAAATTAGATAAATAATCATACCTCAAATAAAGCTGCATCATTTTCATCAAAAGAGTAAGACCCAATTTTATTTAATAACTGAGCAACACCTACAGAATACAAAAACTTGAGTTTGTTAAAAATATAAATGTATAGATAAACAAAAATTAACAAGTTTGTTACTTACCTATCACTTCATGATGGTTATTATATATCGGACAACAAAGCATGCATCTTGGTTTAAATGAAGAATTATCTAAACTCTAAAACATTTTCAAAGAATAACAAGTATGAGAATTTAACTTATATTGTTTGAATTTGAATTTAAATAACTCTGAAATAAGTGTCATTTATAAAGCATTTATGAAGCATTTAATGACACGGTTATGATGCATTCAAAAATCCAAAATTTATAGGAAATAAACAAAAAAAGGAAAAACAATAATGTTTTTTTAATTTTTGAATTAAGCAACATTTAAGCAGTATTGAAGTAACCATATGTAGGGTTTGTAAATTCACCGACTTTTTGATTTACCGGTAATTTGGTAAATGAAAATTATAATACCGGTAAATAGGTAAATTACCAATAAACTTTATATATCAATGAATCAATACAATTTTTATAATAACACTTTTATTAAAAAATTATTTTTCAAAAAGTAGCTTCGTAGAAAACTTAAACTATTCAATGTCTTGTCTCCTAACCGACATCTAATTTTAGTACAAATTTGTCCAGCTTTTGAAAATACTCTTTCAGGTTCAACACTTGTTAGACGAATGGTCATCAAATAGTCAAAAACTATTTGAATGTACTTCCCTCATATATTTTTTGTCGAAAGTACTCCAACTCTTTTTTTATAACTTTTTTTAGACTTTTTGTGTTACTTTTTTCTAAAACAGTTATTCCTTTATTCTTGTCAGTTTGTTTTTTAAGAAAAAGAAGTTTTTCCTTCATAGAAAAATCAGTATTTGGTTTAACAGTAATGAGATCATTATCTAATTTCCAATCTAATTCATTTAGGTATCTTTGAATACTTTCACCAGATTCCGCACTATTGTACAAAATATTTTCTACAATGTCAACAATAGTTTTAATAATTATGGCTTTACTGCTGATATTAAAAATGCCATAATTGTCTTTAACTGAAATAATAACATTAGGGTCTGTTATATAGTGTAACACGTCTGAAAACATCATTCTTCTTTCTTTATAAAATAGTTTGCAAGCTTGATATTATATTTGAAAGTAAATTTTACTTCACTTTTATCAAAATCAATGTCAATTTTCAAATCTATCAGACTTTTTTGAACACCATCTTTAAAATTTAAAAATTTTTTCAGCATGCTTAATAAACTACTCTATTTAGTTTTACAGTCTAAAATAAAAGAAAGTTTTTTTCCGAGAATTTCTTTAACGTATCTTTGCAGTAGTTTATCATTTTTGATTAGTGATTTTCTGAAAAGTTTTACAACTTTCCAAACTTTTGTAATTAAAGAATTAAGCTATGCATTTTGTAGAACAAGTTGGGTAGTGTCAATATTTTTGTAGTCTACTTCAAAATTTTCAAGTTCATTTTCTAAATAATCAGAATCAGAATCAACATTTAGTAATACATCAGCATCATGTTCATTATCTTGTACATCTGTTGAACTAATATTATAAAGTACTTTTATGATTGCCAATTGTAGGCCATGTACGATACATAGCTGATGGTTTTTATTAAGTAACTTTACCGCTCTCATGTTAACGGCAGCTCTGTCTGATGTTATGCACACAATATTTGACAAAAATATTAAACTCTTTAAGCTTCTTTTCAATTAGTTCTGCGCATACCTCAGCAGGTGCGGATCCATGAATCCAAGTCAATTCAAGATTCCAAAAATTACTGTCATTTTCATGAATAATAATATTTATATACCGGCGGTATTTGATGTCCATTCATCTGTGGTAAGGTTATAAGCTTTTTTATTGAGCTTATTCTGTGAAAATTCTTTTACAACTTCTTTCCTTATTTTATCGGCATAACCCATTACTTTTTAGTGAATAGTTTTGGGGATTTTCGGTAACTCTATGTTTCTGGGCAATTATAGTAATTCCAACTTTTATCCATTAAAAGGTATTTAAAACAATTTTTAAAACGAAATTTAAAAAAACAATTTTCTTTAACAATAAAAAGTTTGCAAAACAAGCCAACATCAATTTAAAACGTTGTTTAATTAGAGTCTTTAAGTTTACTCAAGCCTTAAGTTCAAACAAAAGAATGCTTTAAACCAGAGTTGTTAGTCTTTAGCCTAGACCTTGGACTTGGCCTAGCCTTAGGTCCAAAAATTGAGGCCTTGATCTTGGCCTTCAAACAGTTGGCCTTGGCCTTAAAAAAAATACATATTTTCTTATTGACTTAGAATTCTGTGCATAATCTTGGTCTATTTTTACAAAATGTGGTTGTATTGTCACAGCTACTAACAGTTTTGTTAATAACTGGTCTTAACGTATGGTAAAAATTGAAGTCTTTGGTCTTTAAATGTTTGTGTAGGTCTTGGCTTTGAAACTCTTAACCGTGGCCTTGACCTTTAAACTCTGGGCCTCTGCACTGTCCTTAAACTTGTAACTTTCTGCCTTGTAACGTGTGGCCTTGGCCTTATTAACAACTCTGCTTTACACTTTTATATTTTTAATTTTTAATCTATTGACAAGAAAATAAATAGTTTATTCAATATTTATAGTTCTTATTAGATAAAAATATTCAGCAATTAGGAATTAAAGCAATCCTTAGATAGTAAAAAGCTTGATTTAAAAAACTTGAACCAAATTTAGGTATTTACCGGTAAACCAATAACCAGTATTTCAATCCCTACTCATATGATTGTTTGAGGGACTGATCTTAGTTTTAAATAAAATTGTTTAAAACCTGAAGATTTTTGAATTAAACAAAAAAATATAATGTAAATTTACTGATTGATGACATTACTGCATACTTTTCCATTGGTAAGTTAAATGCTTATCAAATAATCTTTTTGAATTTTGAGATGCTTTAAAAAGTTATAATTATTTTTTCAAAAACTATAAATTAAAGAAAATAAAATGCAGACAAATTAGAAAATCACATAAACTTACATCTTTTCCTGGAATATCACTTTTTGAAAAGTTATCGATGTTTAAGCACTAGTATACATAAAAAAAAACAAAAGCTCAAATTTCTATTTTAGCAAAAACAAGTTTTTTTGCAAAAAATAAAAACAACAACTCATTTAGTGTTTTCACAGTAAAAAGAAAAAAACTATCATTATAAATACCTTGCCATTTTTTGCAACCAACATGGCAAACCCTACGTAAACCTTTTTTTCATTTGAACTATAGTTAATATAAATGTTTTTAACTAATAAAAAAGTAATTAGCAACAAAAATATCATTGTTATTAAAAAAATAAAAATACCTTGCTTCAGCAACATCTTGCCAATATTCTTTGCTTCTAAATAAATAAAGCATTAAATAATGGAATAAAAATTATTCAAAGAAGAACAATTAAAAGAACTTTTTTTTAATTTTCTAACTTTCATTTTTTTACAAGTATTTGTTTTAACATTTGTTTTTTTACAAAAAATTCCCTTTTTGGGAAAGTTGAATCAAAAATAAAATATTTTAATTGATACACATCACATGTGTCTAAAAACAAATATGTGGACATAACAAAGACTATTAAATAATTAGAGTAAAGGATCATTAGTCCTCCGATTTAGGGTTGGCATTCAGCAATGCCAACCTGACAGTGTCTGAGGTCAGTATTTTTTTGATAACCTAGTTTTTATGTTATTATGGTGTAATTAATACTTTTCTTAAATAATAATGCCTTTTTATGAAATATATCTATATGATAAAAATACTTTTTTATGAAATATTTATATAGAGACACCTGTAAGTTTTTTTATTATTTCCTTTCGAGTTTTAAAAAAGTCCTAATACTATTTACCATACATCTACACTCATTATCGTATTTAATTTGCAGCAAAAACTTTTTGTTTAAATTCTAAATAAGTCAAGATAAAAACAGAAAAAACTTTTTATTTCAACTCTAAACAAAATAATTGAAATAAAAAACAGCCAAATAAATGTTACATTTAAATTCTAAATAAAATAATTAAAAAAAAAAAAAAAAAAAAAAAAAATGCTAATATTTTACTTTAATTCTAGATAAAATTATACAAAAAAAATTTAAAAAAATTTAAAGTCCTTATTAAATGATCAAATACTGTCAAATAACTATTATTCTTTAATTTACCATATGGCTAATCTGACTTAAACTGTCACATGGTTGGCAAGGTCATATACTTGCTGTAAAATTAGGTTTGAACCCACAGACTGTTCTCTAATGTGCTTTCATTGAACAACATTTTACACAATTGTCTTCCTCTTTATCCTTTATAATTCTGCAACTATGATTATTTATCATTATGTGTATGTAACTATAACCCATCATACTGCATCATACTGCATGGTTTTAACCACTAACTTTGTATGTTCAAAAAAGTCATCCCTTAAGTAATTATTATGCTTGCATAAAGTTAATTTAATCTGTCTTTTGACAATTAATCTGTCTTTTGTCCTGATAAATGCAAGACAAATTTTAGGTTTTGAACCAACCATGTTTTTTAACCGTTGTAGGTCACATTTTTTCTTCACTTAAAAAAGAATTGCTTTTAATTGAGACAAACTCTATGGTTTTTGTTCAGCTACTTTAACTTTAAAATTTCATTTTTTTTAATTGAATTCTTGTAACTGAGGAATCCAATCTAACTTTTTTAAAACTATTTAGTAACTAACTTCAATATGAGTTTTAAATCTCCATCCTGTTGAAAGATGAAATTGCAAGATAAACCTACACTTCTGGTGCCTAATCTTGGATTTTATTTTATAATATCAATATAAACTTTTTTTATCGTTATTCTGTCAATGAATTTAAGAGCCAACACTACTCCAAGCAAAGGTATTCAAACCACCAACTATCCTATGACAATAAAAAAAAAAATATATAAAAGTATATAGAATGTTACAACATTTTGATAAAGCCTAATTGTATTTCATTCTCCATGTTGACAATTGATCTAAATTTTTGACATTTAGTTTGACAGTTGACCTAAATGTTTGACATTTAGGATTTAATGATTCACCATTTTTTTGATTTGTGTTCAATCCCAAATTTAAACTGATCACCTTGATCGTTTGAAATTTAGTCAATTTTAAATTGAGTTTTCTCAAAAACCACTTAATTAATTGTAATGATTTTTTTTTCATAATGATGCTTATATAATTAGTTTTTATTTCAACAAAAATAAATTAAGCCTTAACCTTATGACCTGTAAGTAATTTAATTTTTTGTAAAGTACCCGCCATCTTTACAATTTACTTTGCGTCACTTTTTTTGCAACTTTAATCCATAAATCTCAGAAATTTTAACACTATTTGCACATTTGCCACTTGTCCTCAATATTCATTTTACAATTTCCCAGTAAGATTTAATAATTTGCTGCTCAAGATAGTTTGGTGGATTAGTATCCTTTGAAACAAAATTGACTTTTTTGGAATAATGGATTAATGCCAGATCTAGCAAAAATAAGGTTGGTTTTTTGTACTTTTTAATTAAAAGAAGTTGTTGTTTCAAGCATTCAGTCTTGCAAAGATCTGATGTCAAAGATTAATTTGTTATGAAAGGAGAGCTTATAAAACTACAACTGCAAATAACCTGTATACAAGGAACTTGGGAGTGAATTTTTTAACTCAAATGTACTTAAAATTCCAATTGCCTTGATTTCTCCATCAAGCGACCTTTTTGGTATTTTTTTCTTGTAATATTCTTTCAGATTTTCCTTTTTAAATACTTAAAAAAATTGAACAAAAGGTCTACTGCATTTAAACTTTGTAGCAAATCTTATTGTGACTGAGTTGGATTTCTATAAAATGAGTTGACTATTGATTTTGCCTTTTCTTTGGAAACAAATTTAGATTTTCAT